TGGATATCTTGGGATTCATATTGTTCTCATTCTGGCTGTATTTCTGTCCTAAACAGAAGAGGATTCCCCGGCTGCATCAAGATACTGCAATCAGCTCAGTAAGCATAACGGATGTGTGGGAACCCATTGAAGAGGGTCTTGTACCGTAAGATATAATTATTGACTCTTGAGTTTAAAGATTCAGACTTCAGAGTGCATGCACTCTGTTTTTCTCTTAATTTTATATCAGAAGTCGTTGAACATTAGTGTTTGATGCAGCGTGGAGATGACTCGCCATGTCTCTATGATCTCAATCACCTTATCAACTAGAGAGTTAGACAAAAACTCTCCAGGGTAGGTAGTTCAAGGACTTGTAGTCTCATATACCCAATTATGCTCCTTTTCACTCAAAATTTGCTGCTATAGTATATCGCAAAAAAGAATATACATATTTCCTGCTATAATGGCCTGTTGGATCTAATTTTCAAGCATAGCTTGTAAGCTTCTGGATATATGGATTTGACATCTTTAGGATGCTGTCTCTGGCTTTCTCCACAGGTACCAAGCTCCGTATAATGTGGAGCAATCAAAGCCGCAATTCAATTATCAGCAACAACAGCCAAAACCATTACGTGGTCCATATAATGCTGTAAATGAAGGTGACCTATTAGAATTGCAAGAACGTAGTTGAGCGTTAAAGTTTCTTGTATACATATCATAAACACATTATCCTTTTCTTCAGACTCATATGGTCGAGGCCGGGGTCGAGGAAGAGGGAGAGGAAGAGGATGGGGAAGGGGTGGATATGGCTATCAAGGTGGAAATTATCAAGGTAGTTATGGAAATTATCAAGGCGGGTATGGGTATTACCAGGGTGGATATGGAAATTACCAAGGTATGGATTTTGACATGAAATTTTGTTCCTTATTTGCTATTATTTGTTTCATAGCCTGGTATATATCTTGGTTTTCATGTGTCATTTCTTGGCAGATAATGGTGGATATTCAAATCGGGGCCGTGGTGGTGGGAGAGGAAGAGGTTGGGGTTATCGTGGTAAGCTTATCTTGATTGTACATCCTATATCTCTGAATTCAAAATTATGACATTCAGTGGGCAAAAAAACTGCTCTCTTAGGCTGGATTTTCCACTTTATATGTGTGTGTGTGTGTGTGTGTGTAAAATTTTTCTAGATAGAATTGTTTCACCAGAAGCCACCCCTCTAAATATGAGAAAACTGCATTTGTGGGATCTATATGTATACATGTTTGTTCAGTCTCGCAGTAGTGATGATCCGTATGCGATTCACAGGTACTGGTTATGAAAGAGGTACTGGTTATGAAAGAGGAAGAGGTGGAGGCAGGGGTTATAGCCGTGGTCGGGGACGAATGGGAGGACGTTCTTCAAGGGGTGGTGGCAACATGGCATGATGTTAGTTGATTTTCTTTCCGTTCCTTCTAAATGCTTGCCCGGTGCGTGAATTGTTATCAGAATACCATGTTGATAGTGTGATTTGGCTCATGATCCTGCATTATTAAGCAGTAGTTTATGTTGTCTAGTGATTAAGTTGATATGGGCAAGGTTTTGCGCATCTTTTTTTTAGCTGGAAAGCGTCTAGTTCTGATGTTTGCTGCAATTCATTTCAACTAAATGGTTTCCTACACCATATTTGTATTTATCTTCAGTTTCTATATATGATCCTTTCCTGAATGTCCAATCTTTCATGACGGATGCCTGAGCCGTAAGTGCCCCACCTGTCTGGGGTGCAATTTATGTTGATGCCATGTGAAGAAAGAGCAAATGCAAAGACTGCAGTGGTGTAACGCCTTGGTAGTTTAACCGTTATATTAAATTTGGATTTTTTGGGACTCTATTAAATTTGGATTTGAATACTACGAAAACTTGAACCTAGGACGAAACTTGTGGTGAATGCAACGCCAAAGCTATTGTTTCCAAGGGCAAATCTTCCTTGTAGAATTCCGCACCTTCTCCATCATGAATCATCTAAAAAACATCACTTGTGCTTATGAAGGTTTCTTTTAACCAACCATATGTGCACACGAACTTTGGGCCAAATCACACCCACACCCACACTAACTGAGCTAACAAAGATAACTCAAGGGATATAAATACAGAGATTGAAAATAGGTAAGAAACAAAAAACCAAACCGGATATTACTCTCTCTGTTTCTTATTATAAGAGACGAATAACTGAATTACGTTGATAAAAAAAAGCAGTTAAAATTAGTTAAGAACAATCAATGTGCAAGAAATATAATTTTTTTTTCAAAAATGCCCTTATTAATAAGGAGAGAAAGCATGAGAGAGAATAATTAAATTATTGAAAGAAAGAGAAGTGAGAGGGAGGGAGAGTGTGAGTTGGAGACAATAAATATGGGTAAAATAGGAAATCAACATAAAAAAAGTAGAGACAACTTTTAAATGTCTCTTATATATAGAAATATGCCATAATCATCAAATGTCTCTTATAATAAGGAACGGAGGGAGTAAATCAGTTGAGGAAATAGTTTAAGGGTTAGTGGTTAGACCGAGGTTAGACCGGAGTTAGACCGGTTATATTAAAATAATATAATTTAATTGATAATAATAAAACATAGCAACATTAATAATTATTTATAACAAAATATGAGAAAATATAACAATTTAATTACAGCAAACAACAAAATACAACAATATTAAAAATATTTATCTTTGCAATTTTTAATCACTAAAATTCAAAATATTATATTTGATGTAAAAGTTTTTATTTGGTTATATAAATTTTTTAATGAAAGTAATATAAAAAACATCCTTTACCTCTTCCAGACGTTCTTTTTATTTTTTTTGGGCATATCATGAGAGATAAACAATCAAATCAAATCAAACATGAGGCTTTGAAAAACCAAAAAAATAGGGAAAAAAAAATTACATTGAGCCTGCAAAATAGAGTCTAATAGGGAATTCAGACCAGTTTTTTATTTTGTTCTTTCAAGGCAGTACGTTTCGTCTCTTTCTCCTCTTTTTCCTTTTTCAATTTTTCCATTTCATTTGTTTCTTCTTCCACCGGCTCTCTTCAAGTTCAAACTCTGCACTTTTCCTTCTTCTTTGATGGACGATGGGGTTCAGAAAGCAAAACCAACAAGGACGTGGCTCTTTACCTCCAAGAAATGATCGGCAAGCTCCTCTTTTTTTTTTTCCTCTCCGTCTCGTCCTTCTTAACTTCTTTCTCCTCCTCAATTTTGGACGTCCTTCTTCCTTCGGATCTGATATGTTTTTTTTGTAGTTCTTATTTCACCTCTTCTTCCTCTGTTGGGACTTGGGAGGCAACCCAAAAAAAAACCAATAACACAATCTAGCCGCCGGTTACCCGGTTTAAAACCGGTTTTTACTGGTTTAATCAGATTGTTATTGATTCATTCCATACCCGGTTTAGTAAGCAAATCATATCAGATTTCAGTCCGATTCACTGATTTTCAGGTTAAACCGGCTGGTTCGGTCTGGTTTTTTTTATTTTGAAAATAAGTCATTAGGAATGAGAACACAATATTGAAGGAAAAATCCGATAATAATAATGATATCATGGTAATTTGGCTGTGTACTAAAACCGTGACTAGTTTACCAAAAATGGTGTACATTAACTTATTGATAAAAGGAACTGGTTTGTCCGTAATCATCATTAATTATGGTTATATTTCTTCAGTTATAAATATAAAATCTATTTTATGGTATGATTTTACATTACAAAATGGGTTGAGGAGTAATTTAAACACTAAATTAGAGTTGAGTCCATAGCACTAGCAGTAAGCACTAATCAGATATTCTTGAATACATGAGGGCACCTGGTACAATAAACACAATAAGTTAATTGAAAAATTAAAGCCGATCGAATTTCAATTTCCGGTTTCCATATTTGTAAATATATTTATAATGTGATTGAAAATAAGAAATAATCCCATTATCTTCAAACATGGTACATAATTTATTTTAAGCTTTTGTCCTCTTTATAATGCTTCATTTAGAATTTTAGAATTTTTTATAATATATTTTTACATATATTCGTATTTAATGATTTTTTTTCTCCGACCCATATTAAATGATTACACAACGAACTTTATTGGCCTCTGTGAATTTGGCGAGTAGATATTACATTTAGTACGGCATTTTGGCACTAGGCTATTTATTTTTAGACCTATTAATTCTTTTAATTTTATAAAAAGGAAAATTTAAAAGGAAAGACTGAAGTGCCGCCACTTTGATTAGCGCAGTCAAGGCATCCTAGCGAATCCAACCCGGATTCCTGACCAGGTTCGCTTATGAATATTCCCAACCCACGTCGCTTTCATTCACCTTGCCTCTCTTCTTTCTAAATTCAGTTTCCTTGTACGGATCCTTGATCAGGATCAATATAGTGCTCATTTAATTGTAGTCTATAATTAAAATATTTAAATATGCTAATAAAATATAAAATTTTTATGAAAACAATGAAAAACTAATGTCCTCAATTATTAGCTGGAATATCAGTTGCAGAATTTTCACATTCTAATACCAAATTCTAAAAGAGTGACGTTCAATACATATAATTGCAGAAATTGATTTAACACTGATCTTTCACAGTTTACTGCTGATTATACAATGTTATTTGCAGCTGATTGTTTTCAAGCACAAGAAATATTTTATGAGAAATGGCAGTTAAGCAACTTCATTTGGTTTATTTAATTATTAAGAGGCCTTGCTTCTTGGGTAAAATTTTAAAATGTTCTGGTTTGAAATCATAATTAAGTTGATACGTTGAACTCAAGAGTGTCATTAATTCCATCATGTTTCTCCTCAACAGGGTGATGATGACGCTTTTATGGAGCCATATTCCGTAAACACAAGGGGGTTAATTGTAATAGCAGTGAAACACACGTGGCATGAGTGGAGAAGGCAGAGGAATGTGGGCGGAGTTTGCATCCACATTCATTCAGATGTCGGGGTATAAATGCTTTTGCCCTTGCCAATGTAATCTGTGTCGGACGCTCTCAATGAGAGAACGCGGGAAGAAGGGCAGGAGCCCCAAACACGACCTTTTCCATGTTATTCACAAGCTTCCTTATGGAGATACTCCTTATGTCAGGGCCAAGCATGCTCAGGTATTTATCTCCATGCTTTCTTTAATTAGGGTTTAATTAGCCACAAACAACAATAAATTTGACTTTTCAGCGCAATCTGATCTCCGCTTATTTGCTTCTCAACGAAACATATATAGTACTCCATCATCCACTCACCCTGCCTTGACTATTACTTTAGCGTTTCTTCATATATACATATATATGCCTTGATAATCAGTACATGTGAAGAAGCTAAAGAGGCATAACATGCATGGGTGTGAATGAAGCTGGTGGAGAAGGACGCAGAAGGGGCCATAGCATGGTTCAGGGAGGCAATAAGAGCGGGGGACAGAGTGGGGAGTGCTCTCAAGGACATGGCGGTGGTGATGAAGCAGTTAGACAGAGCCCAGGAAGCCATTGACGCCATCCAATCCTTCAGATCCCTTTGTTCTCCCCGTTCCCAGCACTCACTCGACAATCTCCTCATCGACCTCTACAAGGTATGTATCGATATCTCTCCATCCCTCTCACGCCAATCCCTTCCCTTATTCATCAATCCGTGCATGCCAGAAATGCGGAAGAACAGAGGAGCAGATACAACTGCTCAAGAGAAAATTGAGATTAATATACCAAGGCCAGGCCTTCGACGGCAAGCCCACAAAAACTGCTCGCTCTCACGGCAAGAAATTCCGAGTTTCCATCAAGCAAGAAACTGCCCGATTACTGGTACGGTGGCCCTCCCTTAATGAATTAGTACTTTCCATGCATATGTCATATGTTCATCACAGTGAAGCTAATTTACTGGCTGACTGGGAGCAGGGAAACTTGGGGTGGGCCTACATGCAGAAGGGGAACTACGTGATGGCGGAGGCCGTGTTTAAGAAGGCGCAGATGATAGAGGCAGACGGGAACAGGGCCTGCAATTTGGGGCAGTGCCTCATGAGGCAGGGCCGATACGAGGAGGCCCAATGTGTTCTTGAGGAAGTCGTCACCGCCGCAGCCGACGACAAGTCCAGGCAAAGAGCCCACCAACTGATGACGGAAATGAAATCCACAATATCTGCTGATGCCTTTGTCCAAGGAATTGACCAATTACTTCCTCTTTGGCGCTCCCACACGTGCACATCCAGAAGGCTTCCCATCTTTGAACAGATCACTCCTCTCACTCTCACGGATCAACTATCCTGCTCATGATACATAAAAATGGTGGCCAATGAGAATAACATATTATTTGTCTTACAGCGTACGTGTACCGTTTTCTGCACCTATGCTGCATGTTTATACATTTATACTCCCCGTAAATACCACTCTCTCGCAATAATCAATACATCTCAGTTAAGAATGAATATATTTGATTTCCGTTGGGTTTCATACCTTTTTACCCTTTTCTAATAATTCTTTTTCTTTGCATAACTCATTCACGATGTACCGTTAGTTCTTCCAGTCACTTTTATCTTCTCAACCCAAACTTGTCAAACTCAGAAGTTCAATAAATGAACGAAGAAAGGGTGAACTTGTAACAAAATCTTAAAAGAATTTATGTTTTATTAAATGATCAATAACAAGTATCTGATATTGTAGAATTAACTAAGAAAATATGAAAGGCCTCGAGCAATTCGATAGTGATAGAATTTGTGAATGTGACTGATGAGCTGGAGAGAGCATAGATGGAAGAGCGGGCCACTTCAATTCATTAACTCGTCTTCTACCTCAGCTAGTAAAAGCTCTCTACTTCCCTCAAAGGGTCGGTCTAGTGAGAGGAATTAATTTCTCATAACGTGACGAATCAATGTTAGAATTCTTATTCAGAGAAGTACTCACATTTAATACCCGACAATGTTTCGAATACGACTGCTTCCAATAAAAAAATACCTATACATTAACCAAAAAAAAAAAGCTCTCTACTGCCTTTGCCTTGCTTTCTCTTCCTCCACCCGCCATCCTGTGGTGGGAGAGCAAATGGAAGAGAGTCAAGACAATTTGATTTACTTCTAAATTAATCCTTAAATTTTAACTAATTGCAATATGCTGCCTTTGCCTTGCTTTCTCTTTCTCCACCCACCACCCTATGGTGGGAGAGCAAATGGAAGAGTCAAGACAATTTGATTCCCTTCTAAATTAATCCTTAAATTTTAACTAATTGCAACTTAGTCTTTAAATTTTAACTTGTTCTAGCTTAGTTCATAAATATTAATTCGATTAGACCTAGTAATATGAATTGAACCCGTAGGTCCAACCGTCAGTAAATGATTCTTTTTAACCCTTACCTTCAGGCCTGCAACCTGTAGCCTGCATTTATTTTTTTCAATTTTTTAATCATTATAATTATATTATTATATATCACATACTATCTAAAAAATTAAAAATATACCTATATAATTTATTTGATGTTTCAATCACATGTTTCAAGAAAAATAAAATCTCATCATATTTTTTTAGGATATTGTATAAGAAAAAATATTAAAAAATTAAAAAAATTTAAAAAAAAAGTAAATAAGTATTGGCTAGTTGGTGGCCCAACCTACCAACTCACCTTGACTAGTTAGGGTTGGCTTTCTCCTTCAAACAAGCATTTTCAACTCAACGCATATGGGTTCAACCCGCCACAAGCCAACCCGCAGGTATTACTAACCCTAAATTCGACGTAAGTTAATTCCTATAATTTTAAGAGTTAAGGAATATCTAACATTCTGAAGTATTTTTTCTAATACATTCAGTACTCTAAAATATTTTGTAATGCACATAGTATCTTGAAGTATTTTCTCGGGTACATTTAGTACCCTAAAATATTTTGTGGTACATTAGCACTTTAAAGTATTTTTTAGGTCCAGCATCATGAAGTATGTTTTAGTGTATCCAGTATCTCGAAATATTTTTTTTACATGCATCCAGTATCCAAAAATATTTTTTGGTGCATCAACACTAAGTCAAAAAAATATATTTTAGGATGCTAGATATACTTAAAAAATATTTTACAGTACTTGATGTACCTCAAAGTACTTTAAAATACTAGATACACATGAGAAAATATTTTGAGACGTTACTTAACTCTAATTTTAATCATTTAAAATATAGGAACCAAAACTTTAAATAGTTAAAGTGATAGGGATTAATTCATAACCAAGTCAACATCACAAAAACTAATTGGCTAAAATATATATTTGGCCCTTTAACTTTGTACAATGTTTCGATTTGATCCTTAACTTTAAAAGGTATACTTTTAGTCCTTTAACCCTAAATTTGTTTTTAAAAAATGATAACATTAAGATATTAAATGTTGATAAAATATTCTCAAATACTAACATATTAAACTTAATTTTCAAAAAATCCATGATTATTACAAAAAATTATCATTGAAACCTAATAATTTTAGGGTTAAATAACTAAATACATACTTTTTAAAGTTAAGAGATCAAATTGAAACCTTAAACAAAATTAAAAGACCAAATATATATTTTAGCCAAACTAATTTTTATGAATTTAAGGGTATTTTAGTGAGAGCATGTAAGGGAAGGCCCTGCCCCCTAAATCCCTCGCGCCAAACGGATCCTGGAGGAAGGCGTTGGCCCTGCTTCCAGCGTTCCGATGAGTCGGACGGGCCAGACGGTGTAACTTACTCGCGCGCTTGACCAACGCGCCAGCAATTGTGGGGAGGGTAATTCGATAATTTGGCTCAAAAGGCCCCTGTTCTGTGAGAGGGTGCAATCAAAGCTGGACACGTGTCCCCCTAAGGAAAATAGATACTGGGACAGGAGCCGTTGATTGGTTGTTGATCTGTGGGAATGAAGGGGGACGCCAAGAAGGCCAGGTTCAGAGTTTACGGGATCCCCAAAATCCCATGACATCATTTCTCTTTCCCTGCTCTGTACTCTCCCTTCCTTTTCTCATCTTCAGCGATCACCGTCACCGCTAAGACTTGAACTCGAATTGTTCTATTTTGCATCTCCTCCTCCTCCTGTTTCAGAGAGATTGAGCCACCGGGCGGAGCGAATGGAAGAAAGTGTGTGCGATACCAAGAGCATGGTCTCGAAAGGGAAGAAGGACCATCTTTACCACGTTCTTCATAAGGTTCCTTATGGAGATAGCCCTTATGTCAGAGCCAAGCATGCTCAGGTTCCTTCCCTTTTTAATTCTTCAACATTCTCCTACCACTCTTTCTTCCATAGATCTTCCCCCTCATAATCTTCCTTTACTCCATGCCTTTCCTTCTTCTTCTTCTTCTTCTTCTTCGATGATTGAGTTGTCAGTTGCACTGTACATCCATGGATGAATTAGTATTCAATGATCTGAGATTGTAGTTCGCTCTCTATATGATTTATCCATGGTTAATCCTGCCACCATAAATAAACTTCTTTGTTTATCATGAATTATATGACAATTTAGTTGAATATTATTGACTTTCCTCCTTCCTTCTTTCCTTTTTTACTTCTTCGAAATAAGTGAACTTTTAGCTGAAACTGGTTCCCGTTTTATTCTACTTCTACTTCTTTTCTATTTTAAGGAGGAAGAAACAAACAAACAAAAATGTCATCAACTGGTGGTTAATAAATTCTTCCACCCGATCATTCCCCCTCTCAATTTATACTTCATGTGTTTAAAAAAGGCGAGAAGTTTGAGTTGAATTTTGTCACATTACTTTTACTTTCTGCTTTGCCGTTTCACAATTGATTAGAAACTAACAAGAAATAAATCACCGAGTGGTTCTTGAATTCTTCCATCCTTATATGTTGAGGCTCATCAATCTAAGTAATGCGCTATTTAGTACTCCTAAGATTTGGTATTGCTGTGAAAAGCAATGGTGTTTTCACTGGATTTTGTTTTCATGAACAACAGAGTTAGTATTATTTAATTTGAGATATCGTAATAACTTGTATAAACAATAATTAACATGACGATATGCGCAGTTGGTGGATAAGGATCCGGAAGGGGCAATAGTATTGTTCTGGGGGGCAATAAATGCCGGAGACAAAGTGGACAGTGCATTGAAGGACATGGCTGTAGTGATGAAACAACTGAATAGAGCCGACGAAGCCATCGAAGCCATCAAGTCTTTTAGAAGCCTTTGTTCCAAACAATCCCAAGAGTCACTTGATAATGTACTCATCGATCTGTACAAGGTACTATACTTCTACTGCTTCAATTTCATTCTATTCTTCTCCCTTTTCGATCATTTTTGTCCTTTTCCAGCGACTGCCACGAGTCGAAGAAAATTTCTGAAAGTGAATTTGGTGTCCAAACAAATTGGCTGATTCAATTAATTATGAGTAGACACCCCCCCAACAGTGATTTAAAAAAAAAAAAGAAGCAGTCCATGCATGTATAGTTAGTGTAAGAAATGGTTCGATGAAAACTCGTTAATATAATGCATCTGTGGGCTTCTCAATTTGAAGCCAGTAGGTATGGAAAGAAATAGGAGGAATTATAATCAAGTCCCGAGAAATAATTACTAAAAAGTCTTAATAACAATCTCAACAGTCTATAATAATAAATCCTATAGTAAGAATGACAACTTTTGATATTTGTTTTTCAATTGTTTTCTTTGTTTGGGATCTCATTGTAATTCTCCCAAAGAAATATAAGCGTTCCTTCCTAACATCTAGTTTTATATTTTATGGACTCCTGGGAAGGTTGGCGTCGCATATAGTATAATTCATGTCTGGATGGCTTATATTTTAGAGGTAGAGTGATTAAGAATTTCTGAAAGGAGGCAGAATTCCTGAAGTATATATCATTGTATTTCATTGTGAGATTGTTGTTTAATGGTAGAAATGTGGAAAAGTTGACGAGCAAATAGAGTTGTTAAAGAGGAAGCTGAAAATGATATACCAAGGCGAGGCTTTCAATGGTAAACCCACAAAGACAGCACGATCTCATGGCAAGAAGTTCCAAGTTTCCATCAAGCAAGAAACTTCCAGATTACTGGTATTCATTCTTCAATTCCTGCCCTATAGTCTTCGCCTTTTTTTTTTTTTTGGGTAAAAGAAAAGTTGATTCATCCTAATTTTTAGGTCCCTCGAGCGTGTTGACATTTTTTTAGTTGGTATCAATGTTACGTATCCAATCAGATTATCAATGTTTAATATAATCTGAGTCCCAGCTCACAAAAATCATCAATCATCGGTACTCCGTCGGTCATTTTTGTAGGAAACAACTACTATTTTCATCTTGTCCTTATTTATAGGAAATATTTACAAGATGTTTCAAATTTTTTTGGCCAATTTTCTATTTTTTCTCATTAATTAATTATTTTAATATTTAATGTATCTATTTATTTATTATCTCATTTGTCCAAACATCATTCATTCATTTCCCTTTTCTCTCTCCTAGACTCTCCCCCATAATAAATATAGGGGAAAAAACTTATAATTTTTGCATGTTTATTGATCTCCATGATTTAGTTAAATACTATCTCCACTCCTAATTATAAGACTTTGTTTGTTGTCTATAATTACTTATTTTTCTAATTAGAACCGGAGGTAGTATTTCTTACAAGGAGGAACGGAAGGGAGTATTAATATAAAATTTATAGGTCAAAACCTGAAATAGTACGGTGGATTTCAAATTTTGTGCAATCACGGATCGATAGTCTAGTTCATGATTAGAAACACATTAATTCATCATGCATGATAGATAAGTTGTAAAAGTTGACACAAATGACGTGGCATGACACAGGGAAATTTGGGCTGGGCCTACATGCAAAAAAAGAACTACATGATGGCGGAGGTTGTATACAGGAAAGCCCAAATGATTGATCCAGATTGCAACAAGGCTTGTAACCTGGGCCTGTGTCTCATGAGACAGGCTCGATACGAAGAAGCTCAAGTGATTCTCGGAGAAGTAATTCTAGGCAATGTTCCCGGGTCAGAAGATGGTAAGTCGAGGAAACGGGCCGAAGATCTATTAGTAGAGTTGAGGTCCAAGCTTCCGGGCCCACAGTTGCCAGATCTTTTGGGCCTGGATGATGACTTTATCAAAGGACTGGAGCGGCTTATGAGTGAATGGGGCCCAATTAGATCCAAGCGACTCCCAATTTTTGAGGAGATTTCTTCTTTTAGAGATCAGCTTGCGTGCTGATAATGTCATACTGATACGTTGTGTATAATAGAATGATGACGATGATCTAATGATCAAAAGGCGGAACATAGAATACACCATCTTAGCAAGGGAGCTTAATATAGTTGTTTAGAGCCTTGCCCATAGATCGATTCGTATATTTAATTTGAGGACGAAAAATTGAGTGGCGAATTAATTAAGCTTTAGTGTGGAGTTGAAGCTAAAATTGAAACCCTGGAACTAATAATTAATAAGTTAGCTCTAATTCGTGCTTCGAGCTTTGCCTACCAGACAGAGAAAAATTCTAACCGCCTGCATTTAGTATTTTGAACATAAAAGTGCACTGATTTTTACTGCAAACTATACAAGCAATGTCTTACAATAATAGAAATCACCATACCAGACGAGTTAGAGGAAAGTATTTGAAAAACTGAAATTTAAAAATAAGGAAGAGGAAAAAAACAGTATGTAGGAAGAAAAAAGACTCATTTCCTACACTTGAAGCCACCGCATACAGAAAAGACGATAACGAAAATCAGGAGAACTATGATGGCAAGAACTATTAATTTTACCTTCATATTCTGGAACCACATCTTTCTCCTAATCTTGGTTCCCTGCTGCCTAAAATCTTGAGCCTGCAAAACCATAGATATTCATTAGCCAATCACAAAATAGATAAAGATTTTAAGGGGGGAAAAAACGAGTAAACAACAAATCGAGATTAAACCAAGCAACCGCATGATTTATATGAATCACATATAATTTCTTTCAAGGACAAAACATGTGGGGCTGGGTAGCAAATTCATAAAGGAGAAACTTGATTTAGGATTCGGCAATTTGAGCTGCATCGCTACTCCGAGCCAAGTTGCAGATATTTTAACTAAAGCCCTACCAAGGGTGAAGTTTGAAGACTTACTGAGAAGCAAGATGGGAATGCCAAACATCCATTCACCAACTTGATGGGGAGGGTCACGGACTAGGCCTCATATCACATAATTCTGTTATTGTTTCAGATTAGTTAATTATTTTTCCTGGTTTAGTGGGATTGGATTATCAAATAAGGCTTGCTATATAAGTCTATAACTATATATTCTGTAACCTAGATTTCTACTTTGAATAACATAACCAAGGGAAGCTTCGCTGCGCAGCTCACTGGTTTTCTGGCTCATATGCATCTTCATTTGCATTTAAACATCCCTGTGACAACCATCATTGAACTGATAACTGATAAAGCATATAAGCACAAAGGCACAGTGAAAAATCTTGCACACATTTTCATTGTTCTACAGTTCAACATACTTTGGTTTATATTTTCCCTTTATTTAATCTCATTATTAATATATATAATAATGATAAATTTTTTACAACTAAGAATTAGCAACACCAATAGAAATTCAATAATAAATGTAAATAAGAAATCTATTTCTTAATAGATTATCCTCTAGTTCAGAGTTTCACAAAATTGCCGAGTTACTCAATAAGTAACAATAACATACCTGAGAACGAAGGTTTTCAGTTCTGTCTACCAAAAGTTCAATCTTCTCCCCACGGTCGAGAACCTGAACACACAGAATTATAAATGTTACAGCTAACCATAAATTTAATTGAAGGGATTTGATTACAACACTTTCAGCTCGCTAAACATCCACAAAAAGACAATTCTAACTTTTGAGCAAGTTGCCCTTGAAGTTGTAAAGATTATAGGTGCTTTTACCTTCTCAATATTTTCCATCATAACTCCCTTCACTTCAGAAACCTGAGCTTTCACTTTGGCAAGCTTGTCGATCTCCTCCGGATGATCAATGCAGTACTGCATCTGCTCCTTCAACTTGAATCTAAACCCATAAACAAAAAAAAAATTAATAACTATGGATTTCATGAAAGAAATTTACATTTCTATACATTATACGTGAATACCCAAACTCTTTGTTGAGGCTACGAGCAGCAGCTGTTGCAGCTTTTCCTCCAGCATATTTCTTGGAGAATTCCTCCTTGATACGTTCAAGGAAAGCAATCGGAATCTGTCTGCCAACAGACTCAACCGCAACCGCACAGTAAGCTACATCAAGCAGTGCCACAGATTAAATTAGTTCCTACAAATTATGAGTGTAATTTCAGTAGAAAAAGTAAAGAACTACCTAAACAATCAAAAGCACCACAATTTTAGTACACGTCAAATTATCAACAAGCAAACAAGAATAGCTTGTTTCAGACTTTCACTGAGATAATTGGATTGAGTAACCAAAAGGCAATAAACGAATTTAAATTAGCCCTTAATCATTCTTTTCATAATTAATGAAGTGAATTGACACAAGTGCACAACAATGTATAGCAGAGTCCTCATGTATGAAAAGGGAATATAAAATGCCGAATCATTGCACACCTTAGACAGATAAGACTTAGTAGACATTTTCGTTTTGTTTGAGAATACTTGACAGCAAACAAGGCCTCTTGAACAGTAAGCATTACAACTCAAAAAACCATTTAACAAAATGACAGTTGGACCAAGCTTAGAGCTCAAACGCATAAAAAACTTCAATGGCAAGAGGAAAAGATTTCCCAATTTCCTGTTTGATAATCATTACACTTGATTTGAAACATTCCAATTCGAATTGGAAGTTTCAACTAAGCATCCGTCAAGGGCATATCTTATTTATTTTCCCATACAACAACTAGGAGTGGTACGATCACATAGAAGACCAAGAAAGTTCACATCCTGAAGAAGACACAAAGTTTAAGACATAAAGTTTTCTAGCCAACAATGTGAATCTTTTGGCATCCCACTGCACAGAACGTAGCCACATAGAATTTTGCATCACAAAGGTTGGCTGACATTGTGATGTTAATATCTATGATGATAAAGAAATAGGGAGGGAAAAAAAAATCTACCAAGGAGGGAAAACCCCCCATAAGATTAGGTCGCAGTTTTCAAATTTGATTTTTAAAATTTTGGAAGATGATTATCAGTATTATAGCGTTACTCTTTAATGTAAACATATGCATCAGATTAGGAGTTTTTTTTTTTTTCCTGGTTAATACAAGCTTTAGTCTTTCAAATTTGTTCTTATTTTGGTTTTGGTCTCTCAAATTTTAAACCATAGGTTTTGGTTCCTTAAATTTCTTTTTATTTAAAGCGTTGGTCTCTATAATAAATAAAAATTGGGACCATTTTGCATTTTGAGGGATCAAAACCTATGGTTTAAAACTTGAGGAATGAAAACCAAAATGAGAGCAAACTTCAGTGACAAAGATTATATTAACCCCCTTTTTTTTTGAGAAAATACTGCAATACGTATATGCATAAATATGGTTACCATATCTGTGATTGGTTTCACATCTCGTAAGTATCCTGATTTAGAGTAATGCCAGGTGATCAGGTAAAATGGTTATATATGGGAGAAATTGATGATTTAATCAAATTGCACTATGATACAGCAAATTATCCAATGGATCTCATTACCTTTATGGTTCGATAATGAGTTGTAGTATCTTCAAAATTGTTTTAAGTCTTAGAAAAGGCATCCATATTCAGATACTCATGCACATTATCCCACACGCTTCAAGGGTAAAAACATTTTAAACACGATGTCAAGAACAAACGTACAAGAGGCTCATCACCAATGTATATAAACCAACAATTTAAATCATGTAATTTGTGATTTTAATTTTATATTGATAAGAAAATAGAACAAAGCAATACAATACAAATCTTCACTTTCGACAAATGCCAATTTTGAATCAGTTATCACATGCAGCATTATCAGAAGAAGAAGTATAAACGTAATGATTTAATGCCACACATAAAATATAACGATCAGAAGTATAATAATTCGCAAACCAGAATTCAGTTACAGATCATATCTGAGAAACATCAACTTTGAACTTGGACTCCGCTATGTAACACAGCATCACATAAAATTATACCTCTTCCATACAAGAGAAAATTGAATAAACATGGAACCTGAAGTAATTAAGATGATTATACGATTACGCCAAGCTCATAAAAACCTTTACACTTTCAGGCCACTGAGATTTTCAACTTGAGAAATTCGTGATTGAAGCGCATGTATAGGTTGAATTACCTCCTTATAATTCCATCAACCAAACTAACAACTCAATGCTCAGTTGAATTTATTGCTTCTTCGCCTTTTATACATGCTGGCGGTGAAAACAAAGAAGTGCATACAACTCCAGACAACATCAACAATGGGAGACCAATGATCACTAACGAAATTCAATGGCATCAACTGGATCATTGAAACATCTAAACCCAATTAAAATCAGAACCAATGTCGCGCATGTAATAAATTATATTCCCATCAAGAAATGAACAGAAGAAAAAAAAACGAATTTTATAAACACCGTAATGGGAAATAAAAAAGGAAAAAGAAAAGCTGAAGATCAGCAAAAGACAGAGAAAAGAAGACAAAGTGAGAATTACTGAATCCATTATCGACAAGGTAGTTGAATGTGTGCCCGTCGCAGTTGTAGGTGAATTTGTTGCTGGACGGGGGGAGTTTCTGCAGGCACTGAGACGCAATGCCGGTGAAGTTACCGGAGAACTCAGTGTACTCGGCGAGGATCACGGTGCCGCGCGCCACGAAGCTGTAGATCAACGATTGCTGTCCCATTGGAACCACAATCGTAAGCCAAACTCAGCGAAATTTGTTGAAGAAAGAAGGAAATGAATTGAAACTTAAAGAGGAATGCTTTCTTGTTTTAGAGAAAGAAAGTGAGGAGGAAAGAGAACAGAACAAGGGGAGGGAAGAAAGGAGGTCGTTTTCGCCATGGCGTACAAAGAAAAGCGAGAATTTAATTTGAGTTTATAAAATCAACGGAAATACTCCGCCGTGCCGTACTATTAGCTTTTATTTATTTTTTTTAATTCAATAATTTGATCTTGGGAAGAGTAACGGCGTTGCCCAGATTTTTTCCCACGCCACCGGCCAGAATATTTATATTTGTCGGAATTGTTGTTCGTTCTGTCTTTTAAATTAAGAAGTAAATTTAATATGGCCAAATATCTTTAATAAGAATGCAGTCTGATATTCGTCCTCTTTATCGTTGAATTTTTAGCATATAAAGGCTTTGCCACAACAAAAGAACTATTGCAGGGGCCTTCTATGGGGCATGAGGCATGTGAAGA